GTGTGTGTGTGTGTGTGTTTGGGTGTGCATGGGGCGGGGGCCGAGGAGGGGGCGGCGGCGCCCTGTGCTGCTCGAGGGGCGGGGATTTCGCTGAGTGCCCCATGCTGTAGGGCTGACCTCTGGTCCACTGCATCCCATCTTGAAGCCCAGGTCCGCGCGAAGTAGGCTGCTGGGCTGGTTATCAGTCTGCACGTACGCTGCAGAGATTTTAGACCGAAGGTTGCCGTTGGTCCCGTCCTGAGGAGATGTTACGTGTAGTAAGCAAAAAGTGCTTCTCTTTGCACTGTCAACAGTGTGGCGATCTATTGATTAGGATTATTCCCCCTTCCCTCTACAGACAGCTAACACTTCATGTGTCCATAGTCAGCGCCGGCGGTTGTGCATTATCACACTTCATCATCCCACTGGGTATGTTGTCTTTCCATTTTACAGGTGAAAAAAATTAGGCTGAGGGAGATTGTAGCATTTGCCCGAGGTCACACAGCTATCAGCTATCGTAGTAATCTAGGGAACATTGACTCGAATGTGCAGGTCTTTCTTTCTGTATGTCTGTATTTCTCCATCTGGCAAAAACAAAGACGTGAGGAGAATGACATTAGCTGAACAGTTTCCTCTAAACCCATGGGTAGACACAGTTCACTTTTCCTATGTGGACCATTCTATGTATTCATTGCTTAGCGGAATCATTTTCTTGACTTTTTTATTTTTAAATTACTTTTAAAAGGTGACTCCAGGCACCTTTTATGTAGTAAGATTGAATTTGCCCTCTTACACAAATTTGATCTATTTAGTAAAAGTGCTTATTTTTTTGACAAGCTACGATTTCACTTTTGCAGTTCTTGCCGCATACAGGGAACTAACAGTTGGGTTATTTGCTTGAGATTTCCTTATTGCAAAATTTGTTGCTGAATTATGTGGCAATGTCAACACACTTTGTGCATTGCCTTATGCAATATTTCTGAGTTTGGTGTCAAAATTTGGTGTGTAGAATGTCTTAGAAAGTTATCTTTTGATGGTATGATTTTTTTTTCATTTGTGTGGAATGGAACGAATCAGCATTTATAAAAGCTCACAAATTCTCATTTTAGATTAGCCTGCACTATTTTTCTGTAACTGGCTGTGTAAAAGTAAAGATCCAGAACTTTCTACAGAAGAAAATGTTGATAAATTCCCTTGAGTAATTAGGCTTCATGCATAGTTGCAAATGTTTAAGATATTTTTGGTGCCTAATTACAGTCCTCTACAATTTTGTTAGCATATTATCAGGTTGAAGACAATTTGTAGTTGAATGTTTTTGCGATGTCTGTAGAGAAAAGGTCATATTACAGTTATCAGGTGGATGGTTCCTAGATTGATTTGTCCTTTGATTAAAATGTGTTGTGTCCTGTTGAGTTGTGTAGAATATGATACCATTATGGCATAGTTACCTAGTGATGCTGTCCTTGTCTGTTTAGAGAGAACTAGCTGTTAAAGGCTTACCTTAAATTGGATTACACTATAAACTTACTCTTTTAAGCAGTGTTTCAGACAGAACGTTCATTCTTAGTTTTATTGCTACCAAGGAGTAAATTATATTTAATAGATACTTTATTAAAGTTGTGTTTGGTATTCTGCATTTCCTGCAACTTGAATTTCAGGTTGATTTTTTTTTTTTTTTTTCTTTATGGAACAAGAGCTCTCTAGTTTCCTTCTCCCCCAGCCTTTTATTATGAAACAATTTTGAGCACACAGAAAGTCAGTAATAGAGAATACCTATGTGATGACCCTCAAGATTCAACATTGTTGATATCCTTCCATATCTGCTTTATCCATAAATATGAATTTATTATTTTTGTCTGAATTATTTGAAATTAAGCTGAAGACTTTATGCCACTTTACCCTTAAATATATTAGTGTATATCTCCCAAAGAAAATGAATGATATTTTCTTAAATAACCATAATACCATTATTATTAACTTTCTTAGATGGAGTAATTTCTTGTTATAATCTAACATCAATCCATATTTTAATCTCCCTATTTGTATTGAAAGGTCTTTGATTGGTTTGTAAACCCCACCCTCCACCAAACAAGAGTCCTGTTAAGTTTATTCATTTTATTTGTTTTAAGTCTTTTTGGCCTTTCTGATGTATTATAGAATGGCATTACTTCCCATCCCTTTTAAAATGATACTGAGATTTTGAAGAGATCAAAATAATTGTCTTATGAAATGACACATATTTTGGATTTGTCACGTTTCTCTTTCTTTCTTTCTTTCTTTCTTTCTTTTGGAAAGATTTTTGCTATAGGGCGCTTACACTCACTGGAGATACAGAGAGAGACAGAAAATAAAAAATCGCCTTCCAGGGGGGATGGTCACGCCACAATCCTCTTGGTATCTTGGGCACTCATGCACAAATGCCTGGTATGAGTTTTAAGCCACTGGGTCTGGGACTTGAACTGTGGTTGACTCTGTGGGAGTCCAGCAACGGAATCATTATGCCACTTCTGGTCCTGGATTTGTCACATTTCTTCCTCTCTTGGTATCATTTAGCTTGTTCATACATTCCTGGTATACTAGTTGTTAACTGTAAACTAGGTTTAAAGCAGTAATTTCAAATGAAACTTTCTGAGCAAGAATACCTAAGAAGCCATGTTGTACACTTCATATTGCCTATCAGGAAGTATATATTATCCAGTCCTATTATTTGTAATACTAAGTTTGATCACTTGGTTAAGATATGTTATATTTCCCTCATTGTAATTAGCCAGTAATTGTTGGCATGATAAATTAGCACTGTGGTATTAGCCTATTCTCTTGTAATATTTCATCTAATAGTTATAGTCATCTATTGCTGATCCTTATCAGGTTAACCTTTTGAATTTTCATTTTAACAATCTTTGTTTTTTTAAGAGAGTTTTTTGTTTGTTTGTTTGTTTTATTTTTTGCTATAGGGCATAAGCGCTCACCAGAAAGAGAAAGAGAGACAGAAAGCGAAAAATCACCCACCAGGGGGTTGGCCACACTGCAATCCCTTCTTTACTTTCCTCTCGGGATTTTGGGCACTCATGCACACGCACCCGCCATGAGTTAAGCTGCTGGGTTCCGGACTCCGACTGCGTTCAACTACATGGGAGTCCAGCGATGTAACCATTATGTCATCTGTTGGTCCCAATAATCTTCTGATGGTATATAAAGATGGAAACAACATTACATAGGCATTGTAAAATATTCTATGCAGCTGTGTTGATCAGAACCTGATTTTGTGGGGGTTTGAAGTTTTTCTTTCTTTCTTTTTTTTTAAGAATTATTTAATTTTGGGACCAGCAGATGGCGTAATGGTTATGTTGCTGTCCCCACCCCCACCCCAATGTAGTTGACTGTGGTTCAAGTCCTGGACCTGGTGACTTAAAACTCCTACCAGCCGCATGTGAATGCATGCCCAAAATACCGGGAGGAGAATGGAGGAGAAGGGATTGTGGCATGGCATCCCCCTTGGGAGAAGGGTGATTTCTTGCTTTCTGTCTTTTTCTCTTTCTTTTTGGTGAGGGCATGTGGCAGATAGCAAAAATCTTTCTTAAAAAAAAAATAATGATTTAATTTTATTAGTTATTATTAGTATCTTAAAATGTATTTATTATTGTTTTTTACTTTAACCAAAGAGACAGAGAGAGAAAGGGAAAGTCAGAAGGCAAGCCACCAGATCTGGGACTTGAACTGTGGTTGGCCATGTGGGAGTTTGGCACCCTAACCACCACGCCACCTGCTGGCCCCAGTTATTATTATTATTTTAAAGAATTACTTACTTTAATTTTATTTTCATTCACTTATCTTTTTTATAACTTAATTTAATTTATTTATTTAAACTTGACCAGAGAGGGAGGGAGGGGGAGAGAGAGAGAGATAAAGCAAGAAAGCCAGCCACCAGTTCCAGGACTTGAACCACAGTCTGCCATGTGGGAGTCCAGCACCCTTAATCACCACGCCACCGACTGGCCCCTTTTTCATTTCATTTATTTTAATTTGACCAGAGAGAGACACAGAGAGAGAGAAAGAGAGAAAGCAAGCCACTAGGTCTGGTACTTGAACCATGGTCAGCCATTTGGGAGTGTCCAATGTCTTAACCACCATGCCAACTGCTGGCCTCCAGTCATTATTATTTTTTATTTTTTGGAGAAGTTTTTGCTATAGAGCACGTGCACTCACCAGAAAGACAGAGAGAGACAGACAGAAAGTGAGACCTCACCCCCCAGGGGGGATGGCCACGCCACGATCCCTTCTCCTCCATTCTCCTCCTGGGATCTTGGGCACACATGCACATGTGCCTGGCGTGAGTTTAAGCCATCGGGTCTGGCACTCGAACCATGGTCGAATGCATGGAAGTCCAGCAACATAGCCATTACACCACCTGCGGTCCCCCTCTAGTTATTTTGAAATTGACCAGAGAGAGAAAGAGAAAGGGAAAGTGAGAAAGCAGGCTGCCAGATCCAGGACTTGAACTGTGGTTGGCCTTGTGGGAATCCAGATTCTTAGCCATAGTACCACTTGCCAGCCTCCTAGTTTTTCCTTTTATAAAATTTTGCTATGGGATGCGTGTGGTAGCCGGGGGTGGGGGGGTGGGGGGGAGTTAAAAAATATCCCTCTGGGGGATGACCACATAACAGTCTCTCCTTTCCTCTTAGGATTTTGGGCATGCAGCATGAGCACAGTCTTTTACAAGCTGACCTGTCCAGATTCAAACCACCCATTTGGCCATGTGGATCCAGCCACTTTAAACACCACACCACTTGGCTACTCTGGTGTTTAAGGCTTTTAATGATAAATTCGAAGTATCTTGTGTTTTTAATTTTAAAAGAAACTTATCTTGAGGAAATTGGTAAGAACTCAGTGCCTGTCTTTTCCAATACTCTTAAGAAGTGTATTTAGATTTTTCTTAGCTAATATTTTTTGCATAGGAATAGCCAGAAATATAAAGAAAGGATAGTGCTACTAAAAAAGAAAAGAAAAGAAAAAGAAACATTTTGAGAAAATCATCTGTTTTCAAGTGTAATGGCAGGGGAGTCCGAAGATCTGTACTCACTAGTCCTAGTTCTGTGACTTGTGAAGTTTGAAAATTACAAGGGAATGATAACACCACAGTCCCTTCTCCTCCTTTTCTCTTTCCTTTCAGAATTTTGGGCTTGCACACAAATGTGCCCATGTTTTTCAAGCTGCTAGGTCCAGGACTCAAACCACAGTCAGCCATATGGGATCCAACCACCTTAACTACCACACCTCCAGCTGGTCCAAGAATGAGCTTCTAATAATGAGGTGTGTTAGTTATATTAAACAGGTCAAATATTTGGAGGCCACCCTTGTTTTTATTAAACCAGATATAAATAAATCAAATATATATAATCCAAAATTGAATTTAGTTCCCAGCAAATTAA